CGGGGCGGCAGATTGGGGTTCCTCGAGCTTCATAAAGCCTCAGAAAGGTCAGCGCGGCTCAGGTGACAGCGGCCGGCGGGAGGGAGCCCAGGAGCCGCTGCGCGCCCCTAGAAGCGGGCGCGGGAACCAGACGTCGCGGCCAGGCCCGAGGTGGGGACCCCCCCGGGCCCGCCCCGGCCCCCTCAGGCCCCTCGCCCCTCCTCCCTGCGCCGAGAGGGACTCGTCCGCACGGCTGAGGGAGGCAGGTGCCCAGCGCGCCCCGGATGGGCGTCGTGGGGCCGGGCTACCGACAGATGTTGACGGGCACCGAGCCGATGCCGACGGGCGACGAGGGCCGCGCGCCCGGAGATCCGCAGCCGCGCAGCTACTTCTACCCGGACCCGGGCGCACCCGACACGGGCGACCGTCGGGGGACTGGCGGCCTCGGGGCGCCCTACGCTGGGGGCGCCCTGGTGTCCGCGCCTCCGGGGCGCTTCCTCGGCGCCTACGCGTACCCGCCGCGGGCCCCGGCCGCCGGCTTCCCGGGGACGCCCGAAACCTTCCCGCCGCCCGCCGGCGCCGACGCCTTCCAGCACCCCGGGGACGGCGGCTACGCGGTCCCCGACCCGCGCGCCGGGCTCTACCCGGGGCCCCGAGACGACTTCGCACTGCCCGCGGGGCTCGAGGTGTCGGGGAAGCTGAGAGTGGCGCTCAACAACCACCTGCTGTGGTCCAAGTTCAACCAGCACCAGACGGAGATGATCATCACCAAGCAGGGCCGGTGAGTGCGCACCCAGCCGACTTTCTTTTTCCCCTCTGCTTCCTTTTTTCTGTCCAGACCTCGTCAGGGGCTGTGGCCCTTCCGTGTGGGCTCCGGTTTCAGCGGAGGCCGAGCGGGTTGCCGTGAGGACAGGAGCGCGCAGCGGCGCTGCCCAGGCCAGCCCAGCCCAGCTCCCGCGGGTGCGCGGGTGCGCAGCGGAGGAGAGGCCGGCGGTCCCGCGCTCCGGGAGCCGACAGGGCTGGGCTCCTCTCAGGCCCTCTGGGCAGCAAACTGGAGTGTTGGGCCGCGTACCAGCCCCCGTGCCCTGGGGTCTCTGTGCCCACCTCCCCTTTAGCGCCTCTGCAGTGCCCTTGTCCAGAGCCGCCTTGGTAGTAGTGCTTGGTGGCAGAAGGGGATTTGGTGACACAGAGAAGCAGTTGCCAAGTTTTCCTTCCGGTGTAAGTTTGAGATCATACGTCGTGTGTGTGTGTGTGTGTGTGTGTGTCTGTGTCTGTGTCTGTGTCTGTGTCTGTGTCTGTGTGTGTCTGTGTGTGATGCGAAGGGGGGCAGTGAAGTTGTGGAGGACACATACATTCATTTAGCCTCAGTGGTGCGGGCCTGAGTAGGTGACCCCCACCCAGGCACTATGGTGGTGTGGCTAGTCCAACAGGGCTTGCTTTGGAACTGATTCCCGAAAATGTGCCAGTCCTCTGCCCAGATGTTCATTAACAGTCTGGGGAAGTTGGAAGCGGGAGCCCGTGCCTCTATGGGTCCCCGAGCCCAGTGCATCAGTTAGAGCTCTTGGGGCTGAGGCGGCTGCTTCCGCTAGAGCCTCCATGGTATGGAAAGAAAGAGAAAGCTGCAGTTTGCCTGGTGTTTGTGTAGTCAGCAGCTAAACCCTGAAGTGCCTGGGCCCTTCCCAGTGGGGCCTTTTGGGTGGGGACTGGCCGGGCACTCTGGGAGCCGGGGTGATTGTCACTGGTGTTGGAGAGGACCAAAGCTGGGGCCAGAGGGGGTGGGGAGGCCTTGCTTAGTGGGTGTCCAGTCTGGGCACTGGCGGTGCATCTTGACTGCAGGTGACTTCCGTCCCACACAGTCCCTCTCTGATGTCCCCAAGGACAGGCTAGGCTTTTGGTTCCCTGCATGTCCAGATTGGAAGGGACAAGAAGATCCCCTGCACAGAAAGGGAAACAGGGCAGGGACACCAAGAGCTCCTAGAAGCTTCCCTCCCCAGCACGGTGGCTGACTGATGCAGGGCCTGGGTTGTTTTTTTTTCTCTGTCCCCCGAAGCCACCAGTCAAGACAGCCAACCCTGCTGCGGGACACTGGCCGATGGGCCAAGGTGCTTTCACTTCCATTATTTCACTGTGCACCAGGTACACAGCCTTCTCCCCATTCTGTTGGTAAGCTGAGGCCCAGGCACGGCTGGTGGCTTGCACCTATCACCACAGGCCCAGCACCATGGCCCTGCCACAGCCCCAGCAGATGTCCCCATAGCCTGACAGGCCTGCATGGCAGGGCAGGTGGGACACCAGCCGAGGCTTTGGGGCTGGCCTGGGCAGGGCTGGCGCCGGCTGGCCCATTGAGGTGCATCAGGGAGGCACTTCCTGGGTGCATATCACCCCGCAGCTGTGGGCTTCTCTTGCTCCTGTCCCTGAGACATAATTTTCAATGGAAAATTCTCGCTGTCTCAATGTTAGAACCATGAGCTGACGCTACCCCTCTGTCGTTGTTAAGGATGGAACCCAGGGCCTCGTCGCTGCTAAGTTTTTTTTATTATGGAAAAAATAAAAAGCCCACCACATACAAAAGTGGACAGAACAACGTGCCGGGTTTTGGTCTGCCCGGCCGTCCCCCGGTTGCAATGGGCCTTAGTGCCGTCCAGCCTTGTCTTTCTTACCATGTCCACTTCCACGCGTCTCTGGCTATAAGCATGTGATAGCATAGTGCATGATTAATAAATCCAGATGTTGTTTCTTCCTTGAATCATTCTTTCTGCACCTGTGAAAATGAATCATTAAAAAAAAAAAAAATGACCATCATCTTAGCTACCAAGAAGGCTGAGGTGGGAAAATCTCAAATTCTAGGTCAACCTGGGTAACATAGCAAGGTCTTGTCTCAAAAATAGACAACCTCTGCAGTACCACTGGCAAGTGGAAAAGAAATTCCTACATATCACCAAGTTTTCTTGTTCATAACCCTGTGCCTGTACTTCTGAGTTTTATATCTTTGACCTCATTTTTATTTTTATGGTACTAGGAATATGAATTAGGGCTTGTACATTGAGCTACATCACCAGCCCTTTGTTATTTTATTTTGTACTGGGGATCAAACTTAGGACCTTGCGCTTGCCAGGCAGGCGCTTAACCTGCTGAGCTATCTATCTCCCTGGCCCTTTATTTTATTTTATTTTTTATTTTTTATTTTTTTCCGGAACGGAGGATTGAACTCAGGCCCTTGTGCTTTCCAGGGAAGCACTTATTCCACTGAGCCCTCTCCCCAGCCCCCCTTTATTTTTTAAGACAAGGTCTTGATTCTCAGTTTGGGCTGGCCTTGAACTCATGACGATCCTCCTGCCTCAGGCCCCCAAGTGCTATGCACACCTGGCCTTCTGTTTTATTTTGACACAGGATCTTATTAAGTTCCTAAATTGCCCAGGCTGGATTTGAACTTGCAATTTTCTTGCCTCAGCCTCCCAGAGTGTTTGGGTTACAGCTGTGGCTATCATAGCTGGCTCAATCCTTGTGCTTTAATCCATTTTATGGGGCCATTTTGGACAACTTGGGATCCCTGTTAAGTGGGGTGCACAGATCCTCACTATTTCCTTTGATCCCTCCCTGGATCAGGTCCCAAGGGCTTGAGCTGGGGTGGGGGAGGGACGCAGGCTGGGCCCCCCGCAGCCCAGCGAGGCCTGGTGCCTCCTCAGCTGGGCTCCCGCCATCCAGCTGGGCTCCCGCCATCTGGGAAGGCTGCAGCCATTTCCTCTCGACCAGGGCTTTTAGGCCCATGTCACTGCTTCCTTTCTGTCCTCCTGCTCTGGCGGGCTGGCCAGCGCCTCCATGGGTTCCAGTGACCTACCAGTCACCACCGCATCACCCACGAGCTTTTTCCTTTTTAAAAACTCCCTCCACCTCAGGCCCACCCACAGCTCCACAGCCCATGGCCTTCAGCTGACTCATGCTGTCCCAGGTCCTTCCTCTCCTACCCACCTGGGGCCACCCTGGGCCTGGACCAGCTGGCCGGCTTTGGGCCCAGGACAGGAAGGGATGGGGAGCAGGGGAGGACTGGGGTACGGAGAGGAGCCGTCTTGTGGGCTCCAACTGGTGGGGAAGGGAGTGCTGGGTACAAAGTGGCAGTGGGGACCATGGGGGTCCACTGAGGACTGCTGGGGTCCACTGGGGACTGCTGGGCCTGGGCACACATGTCAGTGGCGTTTCTGTGGAGTTCAAGCCAGAGAGTGCGAAAGGCCCTGAGCACGGCCTGCTCAGAGAGGGAAGACAGGCCAGGCTAGTGGGCGGGTGGGTGTGGATTAATTGCTGGTAATCCCCGCTTTTCTGGGTGTGATTGGCTGATTATTGTAATTAAGGCAATTTTGGGGAGCCCTGGTGTTCAGCGGCTCCATTTGCTCCGGGGTTTGTGCGAGTCAAGCGCAGAGCTGGCAGCCCCGCAATCTCCGTCTCGCCGTCGTCTGTGCAGGTCCCGCTGCCGTTGTTACTTTATTTTCCCCCGGCCACAGTCCCAATTCTGAGAATGTTCCATGCCTCAAAGAAGTTTTTTCAGGCTTAAAGTTGCTTTCTATTAGGGCTGATGCCCATCATTTCTTTGGCAGCAAGTGACAAGGTACAAACAGCTTTCTTAATTTTTTCAAGAGCTGGAATCTCAGTCTGGGCTCCATAGTGAGTTCAAGGCCAGTGTGCACTATACAGGGAGAGGGAGACCCTGTCTCTAAAGAAGAGAGAGAAAAGAGACAGAGACGGGGTGGAGGGGAGAGAGAGAGAGAATCTTAATCCGGGGCTCAGTGGATCTTAATCCGGGGCTCAGTGGTTCTTCTGCCTTGGCCTCCCTAGTGTCCAGGACTGCAGGAGCCACTGTGCCCGACTCAACTTTGGTTTTTACTGCAGCTGGCTTGCAAATGGCCACTTGATTTCTGCCGTGTGGGTCTGAAGTTCTGGGAGGAGAGCTGCCTTGAAGGCCGAGCAGAGCTCTGCGGGGCCTTCTGCAGTTTGGTGATCAAAACACTCACGGCAGGAGGCCTTTGCTGCCTTGCACTGTGGGATGAACCCAGGGGCTTCACTCTAAACCCCATGACCTTTTTTTTTTTTTTTTGCGGAACCGGGGATTGAACTCAGGCCCTTGCGCTTGCCAGGGAAGCGCTTATTCCACTGAACCATCTCCCTGGCCCCATCCCATGACCTTTTTAATTTTTTTTAAATTTTGAGCCAGGGTCTTGTTAAATTTTTTTTTTATTTTTTATTTATTTATTTATTTATTTATTTATTTATTTATTTATTTATGTGTGTGTGTGGCCAGCTCAGCCTGCCTGGGGGCGGGGCTGGCTGGCATGTGGTGCTGGGGGACTGAACCGCTGTCCATGTGCTTTGCTAAGCTTGTTCTAAGTAGGTGCTTTAGACCACTGAGCCATCTCACCAGCCCCAGGGTCTTGTTAAATTGATCAGGCATCTTAAAAACTGATACCAAGCCAGGCATGGTAAACACATGTAATCCCAGCACTTGGTAGGCTAAGGCAGGAGGATCGCTGTGAGTTCAAGGCCAGCCTGGGCTACAAAGTGAGATCTTGTCTAAAGGAAAAAAAAAAAAAAAACCTCTCCCACCCCCCAAGAAAAAAAAATTTTAAAAGGATCATGATGGGACCAGGCCAGGCTCTGGGGATTCAGGAGCAGTGCCAGTGCCCCTGTGAGCCGTCTGGAGGTGGCAGCTCCTGCGGGAACCAGAGGGAGTGGATTCTTGGTCTGCACGTCCTGAGGGTGGGCTGGTGGGTGGTTGGGGGCTCAGTGTGGGACCCCTCCCCATTCAGGTCCCTTCCCAGCAACTTATGTAAATCAGGGACTGTTTCGAGATTCTAGTTGGTGGCAGTTCTAGACTTTTAGGGTGAACCAGAGAACCCCCATCCTCTTCAGGTGTCTCCTGTGCTTTGAGCTACTAGAGATAAAAGCAAGGTGGAAACCCCAGTTCTGCTCCTCTACCAAGGGGCTGTCACCAAACCTCTCAGAGCCTCAGTTTCTTCAAATATAAGATAAGAAATCACATTTGCTATCTCCAAGGCCTGGCTTGATAAACTGGCTGGGGTGTAAGCAGAAGCTCAAAAAGTCTGTTTCAGGGGCTGGCAAGATAGCTGAGCAGTCTAAAGCGCCTGCTTAGGCAAGCTTAGGCAAGTGCAGGGACCATAGTTCCATCTGCAGCACCTCATGCTGTGCCAGCCCCGCTCCCAGAGCAGAGCCAGGCACAAAAAAAAAAAAAAAAAAAAAAAAGTTTCAACAGGAGGATCACTGTGAGTCCAAGCTGCATAGTGAGAGCCTGTACTAAATACATGAAAAAAAAGTGTGCTTCAGGGATGGGGTGCAGGTAGGGTAGAGCACTTGCCTGGCCTGCCCGAGGCCCTGGGCTCTAGCCCTAGGACTTAAAAAAAAAAGAAAAGCATTCTCTTTCTGTTTCTTTAGTCATCGAGGTTTGGACCGGAACTGGTTAGAAAATAGAAGACAGATGAGTGGCTTCACCACCGTCAGAGGTTGAGCTGGTTTGAAAAATGGGTTGGAAATATTGCTTTTTGTGTTTTTGAGGCAGTCTCTACATTGCCCATGCTGGCCTTGAACTCACCACGATCCTCCTGCCTGAGCCTCCCAAGTGCCGGGATGACGCGCTCAGAAAAGTTTTTAATTCTAAAGGGCCGGGGAGATTGCTGCTGAGCTAACAGCAGCGTTAAGTGCCTGCCTGGCAAGCACATGATCCCAAGTACGATCCCTGGTACTGAAAAATAAAGAAATAAATATATATATAAATAAATAATTTTGAGATATGGTCTTGTTGAGTCACTCAGATGCCCAAGCTGGGTTTGAACTTGTACTCCTCCTGCCTCAGCCTCCCAGAGTACAGGGAGTACAGATGTGCGCTCCTGTGTCTGGCTTGAGTTTCCCATCTGTTGAGCTTCTAAACAGCTGGAAGAGGAAGGGCAGATGGGAGTTACCTGTGTTTAAAGGTGAAGAAATAGAGATTTTGGGGCCGGGGAGATAGCTCAGTAGAATAAGCGCTTCCCTGGCAAGCGCAAGGGTCTGAGTTCAATCCCTGGTTCCACCAAAAAAGAAGAAAGAAAGAAAGAAAGAAAGAAAGAAAGAAAGAAAGAAAGAAAGAAAGAAAGAAAGGAAGGAAGAAAAAAAGAAAGAAAGGAAGAAAGAACAAATCTCTTTTGGGGGCCCCAAGATTCTTTTTCTTTTTGATACAGGGTCTTGCAAAGCAGTTCAGACTCATAGTGATCCTCCTGTCTCAGCCTCTCTAGGGCTGGGACTACGGGCGTGTGCCACCATGCCAGGTTCCGGGGCTGGCAAGGTATGCAACAATGGGGATGGGACACAGGAACTTGCGCTTGCCAGGCAAACTCTTATGCCACCAAGCTGTATCTCCCGAGTCCTGGGGCCCAGGATTCTGAGGGAAACAGGAATATGAGGGCCACGGCTTTCCCAAGATCGGTAGGGATGTGGTTTGGGTACACGCTGGGGTCTGGCACCCATCGAAAGTGTATGGGAGGGCTGGGGAGATAGCTCAGTAGAGTAAGTGCTTGCCTGGCAAGCGTAAGGGCCTGAGTTCAATCCCTGGTTCGGCCAAAAATAAAAGTGTGTGGGGGCCCTGGAACTCTTCCTCAGACCCTAGTTTCTGAGGAAGAGCCCAGTTTCTTCTAAATTAGAAACCACCAGGCAAGGGAAGGGAGAAGAGGGAAGGGCAAGAGGGGGCAGAGGGGGGAGGGGAGGGGACTGAGAAGCATTTCCCATGAGGCTTTGCTTCTGCCATTCTGATGACCCTGCTCCTCTTGCTTGGGTTTGAGGAGCAAGACGGCTGGCCTGGAGCTTGGGAACTGGTGGCTGTGCCGGGGCAGTATGGGTGTTGGGTTAGATGGGGGCTGTGGCTAGCTGGAGGGGCTCGGTGGGCAGAGTGGCAGACTCTAGCGTTGCAGGTGGCATTGTAGATGAGCGGTGATGACGAGTTGGCGACGGTGGGGAAGTGGGGTCTTGTAGCCACCGTGACCCTGGAGGCCCGGGTTGCACGGGTGGTGGAGATGGCGCCCGGCCCACGGCAGTTGAGATAGTGGAGCTGGGGTGGTGGTGAGGGTGGAGATGGCAGCCAGGCAAGGCGGCTTGTTTTGAGCAAACTCTGTCACCGTGGGGGATGCTCTTGCCCCTTAGAGTGACACTGTTAGGAGCGAGCATGTAGAGTGCCCCGGGGGTGGAATGTCGCTTGGGTGTCCAGCAAGCACAAGATCTTGTGTTCAATCCTCGGTGTCAAAAAAGAGAAAAGAGGGGGAGCCAGGGAGATAGCTCAGTGGAATAAGCACTTCCTGGCAAGCGCAAGGGCCTGAGTTCAATCCCCGGTTCCACCAAAAAAAGAGTAAGGGGGGAGGGGATAACAAAACAAAACAAAAACCTTAAACCAGGCATCGTGGCACAGGCCTGTAATCCCAGCACCCAGGAGGCTGAGGCAGGAGGATCAATGGGAGTCTAAGGCTAGCCTAGCCAGCTACAAGAGCCAGTCTCAAAACAAAAAACAAAAACCAAACTGTGTTTCCCACGCGGCCAGCTGACTTCCTGGGCACTGGAGTGGGGCAGAGGCCGGCTTGGCTCGCCTGTGGGCTGGTGCACAGGACGCCCGCTCTGTCTCTCCTCACAGGCGGATGTTCCCCTTTCTGTCCTTCACTGTGGCCGGGCTGGAGCCCACCAGCCACTACAGGATGTTTGTGGATGTGGTCCTGGTGGATCAGCACCACTGGCGGTACCAGAGCGGCAAGTGGGTGCAGTGCGGCAAGGCGGAGGGCAGCATGCCAGGTAGGTGCCTGGGAGTGGCGGGTGCCCCCTGGTGGGTCCTCTGGGCCTCACCCCAGGACTGAACTCCGTGGCCCACCCCGCCCCTACCTGCCACTTCCCTTTAGCTTCCGTTTTTCTCTAGCTTGTCCTCTGCACGCCCCCGCATCCTGCCCAGCCCGCCAGAGCAGGCAGAGCCCTTCCTCACCAGGGTCCGGGCCGGGCCAGGGCAAAGCTGTTGACCCCTGTCTGCAGGGAACCGCCTCTACGTGCACCCCGACTCCCCCAACACCGGCGCCCACTGGATGCGCCAGGAGGTCTCCTTTGGGAAGCTGAAACTCACCAACAACAAGGGCGCCTCCAACAACGTGACCCAGGTCGGCCTTCCTGCCCTCCAGGCTCCCAGGAATGTGAGGGCCCAAGCCCATAGGAGATCCTGGGGGTGACACTGTTCTTTAAATTCAGTTTTAAAAA